CAATGACTTAAACAAAAAGTTTTATTTTAACTGACAAATACTATATTATAATTTTAACTTTTTCCATGACTATACTCATTTTCTTACTCTTTGTTTTTTATACATTTTATATTTTTGTGATAAAATAAAGAACTTATAGTTGTTCTGCTTCTGAACACTGATGAAAACGCAAAATGATGGGCTTCATCAACAATCAAAAATATATACATTTATTTTACAAATTCCATATTAGGGTGCCGCCATTCAGAGAATTAAAAATACAAAATTATCTTTAGCGAAGCCGATGCTTTACATCCGGCGTTCAGTGGCAGACTACTATTTCATATTGTTTAACAACACATGGCTTTAGCCCTTTTGTGGGAAAGACTTTAAAACAAAACTTACAACAGTTACTTTTCTCAACGACTGAAATTTAGAATAGTGTAATTAAGAAAAATATGTGAACTGTTTGCAATTTCAAATTAATATTGAAATGTACAGGTTTATAATTTTCTATAGTGAAAAGTTTTTGGAACTTCAGTGTTCAAAAAAGTATACAAAAGCTAGATGTTAAGGATTACGAAGTAATCCGAAATGAACTGCGAAAGCAGTTCCTGGGGTTGGCGAGCACCAGCGAGCAGGGAGCGAAGCCTCCTAGTATATATATATATTGCAATGTCTCAGTTATACACGTAATTCAACTTAAAGTAATATCAGTGTGACTTCTGTTGTTGCAGATTAGATGACCAATAACTTACATTAGGTTGTAAGAAGTTAGTTTAGGCAGGACTGCTGATTTTTTTTGCTAGTTATTTACTGTTAGCTTGTTTTTTGCGGTTATTAATTGTTTTTTTAGTATTAATTTTTTTATTAATAATTGTTTATTATTTTATTTGTTTTTGTGAATTTTAATTTAATTGTTACATATGCTTCATAGTGTAATAACATTTGTGTAATAACAATTCATAGTGTAACAACAATTGTGATCGGTGGAGTGCCCAAAATATTGTGTCGCGTGCCATAAATGGCACGCGTGCCATTGGTTCGCCATCCCTGGTGTGGGGTATACCGGGCAGTGGCACTTAACCTTAAAAAAACATCAGTGTAGGGTATACCGGGCAAATATATACCGGGAAGAGGCACTTAATCTTAAAAAAACATCAGTGTAGGGTTAAAATATCGAATAAATGTAATTATATCCACGAATAAATTCATATCAAATCGAATGTAATAAATATTTCGGACATTCACCAAAGCATATCTGTGATTGTCGACATACATCGGTGAGGGTCCGAATGTACAAGAATGTAATGAAATATTCGATCTTTCACCTACGTATTTGGTGTTTGTCGATATTCACTGGTGAAAGTCAACAACCACCGATTTCGGTCTTCGCCGTGACATATATAAAATAGGCTGTGTGCAAAATTTGATTTAGCGAATTTTTAATGTATCTCTTATGAAATACATGTATGCAAACATTTTGAATAAATTATCAATTGACTAAACCTCGTTTAAGTAGAATAATTGAATTTTCTCGAAGTAAATTGTAAAACAATTATATGGAGTTTAATATTCTGTTATAGGTACTCTCATATTTACTATAGTGTTAATTGTTTTCTCCATTTGCTGTGTGATTACATCTGTTCTGCTATTAGTTGGTCTTTGTGTGGTAAGATTTTATCTTTATTTCTTTATTACGTTAACTAACATTGCCTTTATAGTTCGAAAAGAACATAAATTCTTTTCCTAGATTTTTCTTACTTTACTTCAAATTTCTCAGTGATGATATGTTATTGTTCGAAAAAGTAATTTTTATTGTAACAAAACTTTGCAAGAAAAACGCGAAATAATGTATACAAAATAAAAACAAACATTTTTCATTAAAAAAAACAGTCACTGATTCTTTCAAAACTATCAGATACCAAAATTTGCCAGGTTTATGCCCATATGCATATATGGCAGTACTTTTACTTTCGTTACTTGTACCGCCGGTACAAGTAAAAAGTACGTACTTTTACTTGTACTTTCGTTACTTTTTTAGGGAAAAAGTACAAGTATTTGTAACGGAAATGTTGAATGAAATCGTTACTTTTTTCTAAAATTCGGTAAGCCTTCTAAAAAAAAAAATTACTTAAAAAAAATGCTTATGTTTTTTGTAATTTATAAAATTAATGTGCAATATATATGCATTCACAGCTAACTTCGTGTTTAAATACCTGATTTCCCGTGGAGCGCTAATTCAGCGTGGTTAAGCACGTTCTGAGAAATTCTCGCAGCAGACTCAGTGACACCACTTTCGAAATGCAATTATTTTGCAAAATGAATAAAAATATTAATTAGCAAGTTATTTTCATTCATTTTCGAGTTTTATGCATTTATTTAATACATTTTAAATAAAAAAATGGTGGATTTTGTTATTACGTTTATCAATTTTCTTTTTGAACTCACTAATAATACATTTTTGTCTTAATACATTTTTTGCTAAATACATTTTTACCTAGTACATTTTTTACTAAAATTATGTTTATGCCCGACCTTGTCAAACAATGCCCAGTCAAATCTTTAAGAACTTCAGAACTATATGTGCTATTGAAAACTATTATAATTACTATTTTAACTCTTGAAAACTCGAAGGTATTAATTTAGCCGCTGATACTAAAATTCGTTTACAAATTTTAATTATTCCGTTAGGCAGAAATGTTCGGAAAATGATTTTCTCGCATGACTTCAGCATTAGCCATTGTTACAAATAAAACTGTAGACTGTTCTGTTTCAACTTATACTGCACATTCAATTATTTTTTACTAGCTCAAAGATCACAAAGCTATCTGAAACCCCGTGTTTGCTTTGTTTATGTTTGTGCTTTTAAAACGCGTTTCTATAGAGTAAAACAATTTTAAATCAATGGTAATTTAAATAAATAAAAATAATAAACTAAAAATTAAAATCAATAGATAAAATTTCTTTTTCGTGCAAATCCATAAAAAGTTTGATATTAAAATTATATTTGATTTTAAAATTATATTATACGATTATATTATAAAATTATATTATAATATTCTTCCGAATTTAAAAATAAATTAATGTCCATAACTTTCAAAATTAAAAATAATTAAATAAATAACAACAATTTTGCAAAAACATTAAAGAACATAAGAATATTATTCAATAAAATTTTAAGTTACTTTGAATTTTCGATTTCCTAGAAATGTACTTTTAAATCGTTACTTTTTTATTTAGTACTTGTACTTTTTACTCGTTACTTTTTTTAAAAATACTTGCACTTTTACGCGTTACTTTTTAAAAGTAACATATGCCCATATGGTAACACCAAAAAACGCTGAAATTTTTAACGAAACGCTTTGGTAATGACTTTAAAATATAGCTTTTTGTATAGTAATGAGGTGGAATTACGTAATTTTATCATGATGCCTAGGAGCATGGCATAAAGACAATTTATTGTTATTACAATTTATACTTAATTTTCAATTTTTTACTTTTATTAAATATTTGGTGGTAAGAACAATGATTTTGAAAACCAGAATTTCTTGTTAACCGTTATCACACGAACAGAAAGATTACGAAATGAAAAGTTAAAATACTGTATATTTTTGTATTATTTCTGGATTTATTATCTTTTTTTTTACCAGGAGTGTCAATATAATACAAGAAGTGTAATTTTACCAGAATTTATTTTCCCGTGTGAGAACCGGGTTCTTTAAAGAATTGTTGAAAATGTAATTTCAAATTAAAAAATAAGTAGCAAAGACAAGAATGAAATAAGTAAAAGCATGAATGAAATAACTAATTTTTTTAATATATTAATTAATTTTAAGCTGCGCTTTTAATTTTTTTAAAATTATTTCCTGAAAAATGGTAAATAATAATTTTTTTTTCACTTTTTGCACTTTGTATGATAATTTTATACTTTATTTCGTCGCATTTCGTTTATGAAATAAAACCTATTAGACTCAAATAATATGATATATGTATGCCATAAAACTGTCCAAAATGTTACTTAAAACACTCTTTATAATTTTTCACTTTAATTAAAATTAATAAATAATGAGCGCAAATCCAGTCGTATTTTTGCATAGGCAATTACTTTTTAAAGGCATATAGTCAGAAAAAAATATTGAAATATTGTTTTTTTAAGTGAGAAAATATTATCAAATGTTGTTGTCCAATATATTAAATGCTAGCTCTCGGGAGATTAAACAAAAGTGTCCACTATTATTTTTATTTTCTGAAATAATGACTCTATAAATTCTTTTTTGAAAAAAATTTATCTAAAATTTTGCTTTTATGGTTATTATAACTTACGTTTTTACTCCAGAAATTGATATAAAGTGGGGATGAAGTAAAGTATTTATCTAATTAAGTGGACTTGGAGAAATCTTTTTCTTCGCTATTTTCTTAAAAGTTTTTATAAATAGCACCATCCATCAAAAGCGTTTCTTCATATCTCATGATTAATTTAATTAAGAAATTCAAAAAAACATTTAGTATACAAATGAAAAACTCATTTATCAAAAGATAATTCCATGCAAAAAAGAAATGTAACTAAGAATTAAGTTTTATTATTCAATTGAAAAATAGTCATTTTCTTAAAAAAATTAGATGTATAAATTTGAACGAAATTTTAGAAAAGTTAAATTTAAATGGAAAAATCTAATATTTAAATTGAATCGGTAGGATAGTTTTTGAAGAATAAAACTTTGAAAATACGATTAAAAGAGTCAGGAATAAGAATTTGAATGTATTATTAATTGAATAATTATACATATTTAAGCATAATCATTTTTATTAACTGAATAATTCAGCATATTTAAGCATAATTATTGTTTATAATTGAACATTTTAACATAACCACTGTGTATTAATTGAATAATTAAGCATATTTAAGCATAATTATTGTTTATCAATTGAATAATTAAACATATTTAAACATAATTATTGTTTATTAATTGAATAATTGAACATATTTAAGGTTAATTATTGCTTAATAATTGAGTAATTAAACGTATGTAAACATAATTACTGTTTATTAATTGAGTAATTAAACATATTTAAGCATAATTATTATTTATTAATTGAATATTTAAGCATATTTAAACATAATTATTGCTTATAACTTGAATAATTACATATTAGTTGAATAATCTTGATTTTTGCATGAGATTCCCATAAACAGTTCCAAAGGCATAGCGAAATACGAACTTAATGTCAAACGCTTTACTGCATTCTATTGACTATATCAATGATAGCTATATAACAGCTATATGTTGATAGTCCAGAATCTAAATCCAATGAAGAAAGGTATGTTAATTCATAGCAAAGTTTTGGTGTCTGATTATCGCACAGTGGGCAAAAAACAAAACGAATAACTGTTGATGCAACAATCGTATTTTTATGCTCTAAACCTTTATGTTTGACATAGAATATGCAAATTAATTAATGCTGATGATATTTCAAGTTACGAAATCAGACAGAAACGCGTACATACTCAGAATAAATATGCCTTTTATGATGGATTTGGATTCCTGACCCTCAAAATAATTGGAAGTAGCTACAGTCTGGGAAATTTGGTCCTAATATTAAATAAATAATCTCAAGAAAATGAAGCTATTGCCTGAATAAAAACTTCATCGACTTCAAAAATATGTAAATGGGAAACAGCAGACGGCATATTTCAAGCACTCACAATCCATTTCAATGGATTGTGAGTGATATTTCCTATTTACATATATTTGAAGCGAATTAAATTTTTAATCAAGGCATATGGTTCTAATAGTTCGGTCAGGAAAACATTCGAACGTTATACTCCTTACGCTAATTTTACTTATTTCGCATAATTGAAAGTTTTTTAAGCGAATTGAAAACTTTTTACCACAATTATCAAACTCCTATATCTAGAAATAAGTTCAGGTACAAAAAGTTTAGTTCATGTATAAAATAATTTTTAACAATTATTTATTAATTTAAATTAATTCTAAAATTTCTAAAAAATTTTCGAACTGTAAGATATAAAGAATTTTATATAATTTTAAACAATAAGTCTAATAGATTCTGAGTTATCAAATTTCTAAGAAGTAGTAAATTAAAAATTTGACTTTAAATAATTATAACTTTAAATATATAGAACTATAAATTTAAAGAACTATGATTTAAGGAATTAACTGATTTAAATATATACATATATAATAATGAATGTGTATTTTATTTCCAGGACAGTCGTATGCTTCTCATTCCGTGGCTGGTTTCAGTACTTTTAGCTACTGTATTAGATGCATTAATGGCAATTTATCTAATAGTAGAAGCGGTAATGCTTTGTTTTTAAACATTTATTATTTTTATTTATAAAAATAATTCTATCACTCCAATTTCAAATTAAAATAGTTTTGCCGCCTGTTTTGTACCTATTTGCGGCTGAAGCAAAATGTATCAAAAAAGAAAAAAGAAGCTTTAGTGGTCTAATACTGTCATAAAAGTGGCATGGTTATTTTTCTAACTTGGTTCAATTTCACTTGTATCGTTCCAAAAATCATTTTATTAACTTTATCACCCATATTACTGTTATACTTACAATTATTTTGCAAAAAATTGCATAGTTATAATGTTATAATAAATCTTTCAATTAATTAATGTTATTATACCTAGAAGGGAATAAACTTTAAATTCTTTGGAACCGTTATGCGATGAATTTTTCCTAACTATGATCACATATACGTAATGATGCGATTTTTCCTTCACGTCATTGTACATGAGACGAGTATTTTCAACTCCAGTCGCTCATGACGTGATTTCATTTTGGAACGGTAACACATGGACTGATCGGTAAGACGCGGTTTCTAGTCGACCTCACCCAAGTCAAACATCATTGGCAACGGTCAGTGAGTTGGTAGGTGACCACTTTGATCAGACAGGAAAGGGCCTAGGATGCTCGGTAACGAAATAACAAAATGAATAGACAGACTTTTAGCAAAGATATACATGAGAACAATTTTAAAAATAACGGAGCCATAAACTCTCGTACTTCCTTTCACCTTAAGTTGGAACTGCAGGGAAAGGTAGGAAATGTAATCCTATGCCTTTGAAAAGTAGTTATTCGCTATTTTGGAGTTAATTACACTTTAAATGTGCGTACAAATATAAATAAATGTTGTATTGTAAGAAATGTGTATCTTGAAACATGTTTTAGAAGTTTTATCATGTTAAATGTATTTAACCTATAAATACCTTCTCAGGAAAGCGAATGTACAAAGAAGGAGGTGTTTTAGTTTGGCGATGAATTAGTTTCCGAGAACGAGGGACTAACGCTTTGGCTATGTTTTGCACTGGTCAGCCAGCTCCTTCGAATCTTCTTGCCTTAGTGCATTATTTCAGTTTTTTACACTCGTAATTTTTTTTTTTTTTTTTGCTATTTATTTATTTTTGGCTTATTTTTCAGTTATTAATTTTTATATATTTTTGTATTAATTGTAAATTTTTTTGTAATTCCTTGTTTATTTTTTTCTGATTAATTAATGTTGGCTTGTTTTTTTTTCGTTTGTTTTTGTAGCCATTAATTAAACTTTATATCAAATTTTTGAAGATTCGGGATTTTCTTTCGAGAAGGAAGATAAGAGGTTTTTATAGAGATGTTTTTTTTTTTGGCGAGGCTTTTTAGGTCAATTGTTTTGCTTCATAGAAGCAAATATATTTCAGAAAAAAAAACAAACAAATAAATTACGTTTATAATAGAAAGGAACATTACAGAAAAGAAATGTGATTTCTTTATATAAAAAGAAATAACAGTAAATATTATAAAACATACGTATGATCTTTTCCATGATCAATGATTTCAGGCCTATGTTGACTTTTTCTTCCCCCACAAAACACCAATGTGGGATGAATTAAAAAAAAAAATTATAAACTCATAATAATATCATCGAAAAAAGACTCTCTCACCAAAAACAGAAGAAGTTAGAAATGGACAGGTCAAATTTCATTGGATAGAATTCCAACATTATTTCGAGACTTCTTAGCCATGGGAAAACGAAATAGCCTCATATATATGAGGCAAACTTATTTTAAACTATTCGGACCACTTTTCTGTAAAGAAAGGCATAAATAACTTAAATATTTTAAGAGCTAAACTTTAAAAAAAATAGTGCGTGGAGTACCTCCGCGCGGAAGAAGTTAAACTTCGCAACCTGCGACGTTAACTGTAGAAGAATCAGCAGAAGAATCAGTAGAAGAAGGATCACTAGTTCTATTCAACGACTCTTTTTCCTGCCCCGCTCGCTTCCGTGCTCTGTAATCACGGTAATATTGTGCATTTTTCCCTCGTGGACCAGTGGAAGTGCTTGTGGTTGCCTCATCGTATCGCCCTGGAAAATGTATTTGCATTAATAATGTATGTGAATGCGTCATAATGTACTTTCAGAAGAGAAACAATCAATTGATATTCACAAGAGACGAGCCTTGACATAACAATTGTTATCCACTAAATTTGAAAATAAAAAATACTGCCCTATTAAATTATATGTGTATCAAAACAAACTAAAAAAATATTTATAGAAAAACAATATTCGCGATCGCAACGCTCGAGTACGCCGTCTAGCGGGAGCCTGTAAATATCGGACATTAATTTATCACGTTTTCATTTAGTTCCATCAAAGTCATTGACTGAATCAGACGCCATTTTTTAGCAGCAAATAAGAAACAAAATTTCCCTAAGGAAAAGGCCGAAGAACTTGAAAAAAATCTCCAGAATATTAGTAAATCTTTCAGGAACAGAACACGCCAAACATTTGAAGAAAAATTCCTCAATAATTTTTAATTTCTATTATCAACAAACTTGCAACTGATGACTTCCGATTTCGGATACTGTTACAGATGTGTGTATTAAGGTAAAATGCATTTCTTCTGTCTTCAATTCATTACGAATTAAAGTGAAGTCAACATTGCTTTCGTCATTCCAGTGAATAAATATGAATTCAGAACATACAGAATTGTAATAGTTATAGCATATTCTTCTTCGTTATAGAATAGTATATATTTCTGTATCCATATAATTCGGAAAACAACAATAAAAAATTATCCAAGTTACTTGAAATAGTGCCATTTGTGCTGATTCTTAATTAATTTTAATCGTTTTCTTGGTAAGTATTTTTTAGTTTTGAAAGAATAAGTTCAACTAGAATTCAGCTATTCTGTTTTTAGCTACATATTCAAATTCATATCAATTATAAAATTTTGCTGTGTAGTATGTTATCTAAAAGTAATGAAGGTATAAACTATGTATCTATTATTTGAGAATAAAGTTTTCAAACAAGGAACTTATCATTTTGGAATTCTCCGGGAATCATAAATCAGGTAAGTGCAATGATTTTTACAATAAAAAATTTGCTTGTAAATATTTTTTTTTCATTTGATGATGGTTCTCTACAGAATGGTTTTTTACGTCTGATTAAGAACTATAAGAATAATAAAAAAAGAAACAATATGAAAGTTTTTATTTCAATGTTAAGAATTCTTAAAATCGTTTTTTTTATCCTAAGAATTCTTTATTTTCCGTTTTTTAGTTTATAATTTTTTGATAAAAATTGTTCTCAAAATACTTTTTTTGAAAAATTAAATGGTATAACATTATGTGTTTATGTATACTTCTTGTATATTCCAATGTTTGAAGTAATATGATTCAGAAAAGTATGGAATAAAAATTCGGTACTTACGTATTAACGCCACCGCCGCTACAGATTTGGCGGTTTTTAAGTGCCGCCAATCTACACTTAAAATTTTTGCGACAATTCATAAAATAAAACACTTTATTTAAAATCAAAATAGTCAATCGGATTTCGGTGGAAAATGAGCCGATATAGAGTTTAGCATAGATTCAAAACAATCATATCGCCATATGAACTCTGATAAATAAGATTCCAAATGAAATAACATTTCCAAAACGTACGTTTACCAAGATAAAGTTTTATGTTGTGGGAATTGGTACATTTTCGTTTTTTCGGTAAAATATTTCCCTCCTGAAAAAATAAAATTGCATCTTGTTTTGTTTTTGGCAAATCCCAAAGACGAATTTTCGTAGCACTAAAAATGGCGACAAAAAAGAATTGTTTTTTTTTTTTTTTTTTTTTGTTTCGTCAGCATTCTTTATTTTACGTTTCTTAGTTTCTAAATAATGATTTTTATTGAAACTTGAAATTTTTTGATAAAAATTGTTGTCAAAAAACTTTGTTTACAAAATTAAATTTCATAAAATTATGAGGCTTATGTATACTTTTTGTTCATTTTAATTTTTGAAGTAATATGATTCTTAAAACTATAGAATGTAAAGTTTAAATGGGCCTTTCATGTTATATCATTAAATTTAGTAATACTATTTCTCGGGCATTAGGTTTTAACTCTTATAAGAATATACATATTTTTTTCTGTTAATGTACAAATATTTTTCCGATGTGTTTTGGATATTCCTTCTCTAATAAAAAGAGATACCATTTTGTTTTCGGTTGTACAAGAAAGAAGATCAAGCATTTTTCTTTTTTAAATTTAATAAGCCACATTAAAGAAGGAACGTTGCAATGCTACACGCTACATTAACGACGTCTCCAGAGTAACTGAATGACGGTTCATATGGAAATCGCAGGTAAGCGTCTCATACAACAACGCCCCCTATAGTTCGTTGCGATCGCGAATTTTTATGACTTTTATTATTTTTATGCTAGTGAGAACCAAAACAATATGGAAATGAATGAGGGAAAACTGGATCCCTACCACGTGATTTCCCGCCCCATAAAAATGTAGCGCTAAACGTTTAACGCAACCTTGTTGGAAGTCGCATAAGAAGTATAACTTCAAAAACAATCTGGGGAAATGTTTCTATCCCGAAGAAAATTGCAAAAATCAATGAACAGTTCTTCAAATTTCTACAAGTCCCAGTTAATGATGTATTGGAGAATCTGATGATAAGCCCTTTTTTTCATAAAATTGTTAGTTTTCTTCATGTTAAAGCTTTAGTTAGTTTCAGAATTATCAGAGAGGGCGCTGACTAAAAATAGGAATAACTTGCCCTAACATTAATGAGCAACACTAAAAAGTTCACCATAGTTTAACATCTTATTCGTAAAATAGAGTACTTTCACGGAACGACAGAGCCTTCAAAAATAAGAAAATTGAGGAAAAAAAAGGAGCGAAACCAGGACAAATAGGTGAATCTATTAAAAACCAGAAGTTAGATCTTCTGCAGCTAAGCAGCGGTTCAGCTGAATTAATTGAGCTATTTGCGAGTTAAGTTGAGGGCTATTCTATTATTTTTTTATTTTTTATTCTTTGTTTTTCTCATCTTATATCCGTCGTTGAACAGCCGACCCAATTTTGAGTTTGCGACTATCAATGTTCAACTCCGTGGCCTTGTAATTTTGGACCCAACCCAGAAGGCAAAGCAGCTCCTGCATCAAATTATGGGAGAAATTTGTCTTAGTGGACGACTTTTTGATGGAACTAAACCGCATTTGCATTATGTGGATAGGAAAACCGCGAAAACCTTCCACGCTTAGCCTGGCGGTAAGGAGACTCTAACCCATGATCTGTCTACCACTGAGGTTATTTTTACGTCAGCACTGTGGTCGGTGTGAGCTGGGTGCGAAATTCGTATCAACCAAGCACCGCTGGAATCCGAACCCAGGTCACCTCATTGGGAGGCGATCGCTCTGTCTCCTGAACCGCACTGGCTCACTGAGGACTCTTTGGGGGCACTTTAGGTAAGAATCTCTATGGTGCAATGAGTTCACACCGTTGGTAAGGAAATGGGGTCTGTGAGTTCGATCCCAGCAGTCGACTATACAAATGACGCATATAAGCAGCAATTTGCACGATAAATTAATCATGGTTGAAAATCCTCTCGTTGGCTAAGGGGTAAAAGTTCGGAGGGAGGGATACCAGCTCAGGCATTTCCACGTCACCTGATCGTGCTTAAAATTACGTGGCATTCCTATCAGGGCAGCAAGCAAAAGTATAAGCTGTTTCCATAAAAAAAAATTAAGTTATTATAATTATTATATTCTGCGGGGGGGGGGGATGTCGGAAGTCTCCAATAATTTATGTTGGTTTACTTTCAGAGCTATGAAGAACATCTGATTGTGTTGTTCCTATCCGACGTTATTATTCTTGGATTAAATGTGAGTACAAGATAAATAGACTTTGTACTTGAATATTTTAATGAGTACCTGCCAGCTTTCTATTTATTTAATATCAACAAATCTCAAACTAGGGATGTACAGGGTATCCGGCAAAATTTTAATTAGCTGGTTATTACTTGGACCTGGCAAACGAGTTGCCATACTTGTGCCGGATACCCAAACCCAGTTTTAACCACTAATTACCCGGTACCGGGTACCAAGAATCATAAACCACTGGCCTGTATGGTAGGCAGAGAGCTGACCTCATGTTCCTGGTTCGAATTCCTGCCACAGACTTAGACGTTCTTTCCTTCTCTGTATTATCTATCTTTCTTACTGTGGGGGTAACGATGGTCCACCTAATATGATGACCCCTGAGAGAGTGGTCAACGCATCTGCTCTTCTTGTTTTCGAATAAAGAATGTCTATATATGGGTGGGCATTGGAAAAAAAATTTTCAACAGATATCTATTTATAACTGAACAACAATAATGTAACTTGGATCAATAATGATTTTGAAGATTGCTTAAAATTTAAAGAATCTTACTCAGTTTCAAAGTGACAAACATACCAATGCAGTTTTAAGGAGCAATGGCAATTTTGTATTAGAATTTTAAAGGTATCAGCTTGTAAGTGCAGTTTGTAATTTTAGGTACATTTTACTAGTACTATTCTGTAAAAGATAAGTTGAATTTTATATGACGAAAAAAAATAACTTAAGTCAATTTTTAATAAAAGCAATTTAACAAGTTCATTCTTAACTCAATAGTAACTTGGTTTTGTATATTAAGAGGCTTGCTTCGAAACAAAGTTGGAGGAGTCTTTTTCAAAAACTAAAACAGTTGTTCTCAGTTTCAATGTTTCAAATAGATTATAAGATAATAAGGTTAGTTATACTTTAAAACAACTCAAATAAATGGTAATTTTTATCATAAAATGAAAATACTCCAAGCTAAACAGTTTGACAAATATTAAACAAATCTTTAATTGCTCACCTTGGTATTACCTTCTTTGTGGATGCAAGAAACGAAAAATCACAGATAACAGCTTTGTTATCATGCGAGATCAAGACATTGTCTGCTTTAAGATCTAAGCGACAAACCTTATTTGAGTGCAAGTATGTCAAATCACAGAGAGTGTCATAAAGTCATGATTTTATGCGGTCTAGGGTACTTGGCTGCCTCATAAATGGCCTGTCTTGGACTGCATGTAGCAAAGTGTCCCGTAGCATGGGCATCACAAAAACTGCTACATCTGGTTCATTGAAGCAACAGTATTCGAGGAGGGGGATAATGTTTGGGTGAGATAATTTTGGGCAAATTTCAGTTTCATTTGCTTTGGCTACTTCTAAGGCGACAACTTTATCGGCAACCTCTCGGCCGGAGTTGTCAATCATTTTGTACACATCGCCAAAGGCGCCAGACCCAAGCTTATCGACGCAAACAAACTGATTGGCTTCTAGGATTATCATGATTTCTAGGATTATCTCTTCTGTGTTGATAGTATTCTCCTGATAAATCAGGGGGATGGGTTCGTCTTGATCAGCATCATCACTCTAAATGATATCAACAAATCTTCCCATTTCTTAAATTTTTTAACAAAGCGCAGGAAATCAATTCCCAAAATCAATTTTCTATTTAGCAAGAACTCTAATACGCACATTCAATCTTGAAAATACAAGTTAGAATGTCCAACAATGCCTTAAAAAGGGTTTATATAGTGTTTTAACAATGAATATGGTTTATTGTTCATGAGCTAACGATTAAAGTTTAATTGTTAAAAAGAAGTTAAATGTTTTGAACAATGAAATTTCGTTTAAGTTTTATGTCACCAAAAATTTTAAAATATCAATTCATTGTTCGAAAAATTATAAAATGACTTTGAAGTGAAACAATTTTTATTGTTGAAATGTCGCCATAAAATTGGACTTAAAATTCCTATATGGAAACACGAATATTTAAATACTTGCAAATTATAAGTATCTATACAAACTTATTATATCTATTTAGAATCGTAGCTAAAAATTAATTTGAAATAGTAAAGCAATTCGAGCGAGCGTCTTGATATTTAAGTAGTAAAATGGTAGATATAGAAATCTTTCAAATCCTCAGACGATTGAGGATTAAAAAAAATCAAAATCAGTTTTATTGCTGTGAAATATTTCTAATAATCGACTTTTTAATCACCTAAAGCTGCATCAGAAACCGCTTTTGGTCTCTAGACATTAATAAGTTAGGTTTAAAAGGAAAACACAACTGTTTAATTACAAATGCAAATATAGGTACTGAGTAAATGGGATTATTCTCTATTCTCCCCTCAAAGACATGATCCAGGTTAAAAAGCTTCCATACTTAACTTAGACAATCAAACGTATTTTAAGCGCTCACTAATAATAGTTGTTATGTTAACGTATACTACTCCGCACATTGGTTTAATTTAATATACCGTCATTTTTATTTTACTTTAAAAATACCCAGTATTTAACAGAAGATATAACAGTACATTCTACTAACAAATCAAATGAAAAAGTTACAAACTGGAGCATTAACGCTAAGTACATCACTATAGCTAAGTCTAACGTCGATCACTCTACGTCCAATCAATATCTTTCATTATCTTTCTCAGATATAATACATAACTCATAGTGAGAAACAAATGTACAGAGTGTGCAAAAGCAGGTCAACCTAATTAATATTTTACTTAATGATCAGATCTTTACGTTCTAGGACTCATTCTTAATGGTTTGAGGGGGTAACCGCAAATATGCTAATTAATTAGTGCAGATGTTATTTTAAGTTACGAAATCACACACGAAAAGAATTTTCTATGAATAAGCATACCGTTTTCTCAACGAATTCGGATTTCTGATCCCAAGACATAGGGGGAAAGCATGGTCCCCATAGTTTTGTCAGGAAAGCGATCCAAAGTTTGGACCCCTCAATGTTAATTTTAGTTTCTGCGTATTTTGCCTTATCTCGAGAACTCTTTGGGCGAATTGGAAATTTTTTGCACACAATTATGAAGTTCGCTTATCAAAAAGTAATTCCATGCAAAAAATAAATTTTCGTAAATATTTATTATTTTTTTTATCATTTTATTAAAAACAAATTGGAAATGAAATCTGAATTATAAAGTATACAATTTTTTCGCCATTTAACGTATGTAAATTTACGTGGTGAAATACTAATTTTGAGCAAAATCGGTTGAATAGTTTCGGAGAAATCGACTTTTAAATATACGAATTTTTTTTAAATTTGATTTCTCAAGAGCTATTCAACCAATTTCACGCAAATTTTGTAAGTTGCCATGTAAAACTGCATACTTTAAATGACGTAAAAATTTTATCCCTACAATTCAAAATTTTTTCGACTGCTATTTAATAAAATAATAAATATTTACAAAACAAATATTGTATGGAATTATCTTTGCAGACACGAATTTTGTATTTGTGAGCAAAAAATTTTCAATTCACTTAAAAATTTCTCGAGATATGGCGAAATACGTAAGAAGTTAAATTAATATTAAGGAGACCAAATTTTGGATCGCTCTCCTGAGCAAACTATGGAAACCATATTTGCCAGATAGCTGTTACCGAAATCTGAATTCAACGAAAAAAAGGCATGTTTATTCAGAAGAAGTACGTTTTTGTGTCTGATTTCGTAACTTAAAATATTACTTACTACTTAATAACTATTACTTAATAACTATTAACTATTACTTACTACTTAATAAAATACTACTTAATTAGCATATTTAAGGTCAATCCCTCGAACCATTAAGAATGAGTCCTAGAACGTGAAGATCTGATCATTAGATTAAGTTATTCAAGGTGGTCCTCCATTTCCAGACTGTTATGCCTTCCTTATTATGGCGGGATTTTAATATTTCAAATATTGATTGATATAACCGTATACTATTAACTATACACGTCGCCAAAAGAATTAAATACTTATTCATTTTTTACAGGTTTACAGCTTGCTGTGCGTTTATGCCCAGTATCAAGAATATTGCGCAGGAAGAGGTCATCCACAGTTTGGCGGAAACAGACCAGTGAATATTCATCCATATTTTTATTTTGCATACATTTTAAGCATGAAAATAAGTTCAATAAAACTAGAAAATAAATAAAAATTATTTTACAATAATTAGAATATGATCTTTATTATGAAGTAGGAATCGAATTATGTAATTCTTGGGGGGGGGGGAGCGAATGTTAAGCAACCTCTTAAAGAATGTTTTGACATATTTTTAGCACAACTATTTGTAAGTTTTACCATTTCCATCGATTTAGTACCCACTAAAGCTTTAAAACGTCTTTACTGAGGTTATACAAGAAACATAATTGGATAATGAATACAATACAATTGGTGACACAGTTATTGAAATGTTAGCAGATTCATTATCCTGATAAAAAATAGATACTGGCAGAGTTGTTCATGGAAGAAAAATCAATGAGGGACATTTAGCTTTCGAATTCAGTAAATGGTAGTGTTTTGTTTGCAACAAACTCACTGTACTGGTTTGGGGACAACGACTAACTAAAAAAAAAAAAAAAAGCATGATGGAATAATATCATATTAGCGAACATAAAAATTTAACAGTAATGTAAAACCAATTTCAATATTTTTTTCCTTGTTTGTTTGTTTGAGCTACAACTTTTACTAAAAGGCAGTTTAAATTTCATATGAAAGTGTAAAGAATGAAATGAAATATAAGTTTCAAGATACTCTTTAAAAATTAGTTCTGCACTTTTGCCCCGCAAAACATACATTTGTAAACGTCAAAATTTTCTGCAGTTATCATTCTTTTAAATGGTTTCATACACTTTAGGGTTTAGCTTCAACTTTTGTTTTGTAACAATAATTAAGTTGAAGAGATGTCCAAGTTAGAGGCTGAACTAGAATAGATTCTAACATTGTCTTATCAATTTTCGTTTGCACGATTTCCATTGGACAATTCGCATTCCTATCCCAATAAAAACGTATTCCTATTGGTTGCATCTGTAACTGATTGATCATTAATGGATTTCCAGTGGACAGATACGTGAAGCGGGGTCAGCTTAAATATCTCTGTTGTTACAGCATTATCTCTATTAATCACGAGATAAGCATTAACTCATTTAAAAGTAAGTAATTTATAGAAATTTTCTTAAGCAATACCGATTTGAGAAAGTAATGCAATAATATCAGCAAAAGTATACCGTACAATTCAAACATATCTTATCAGCAGAAAAATTACAAGCGATAATTACAAGCGATTCATTGCATTATCATGGTTGCATGCGTCATAGTACTTGCATTGCTATTTATTTAATTTGAATTGAATTTTAACTCATTAGGAATATAATTCCTTCATTCCAGCTTCCACCAGTGGAATACCACGGGAATAAATATGGATTATCAAAACATTCGAAACTTATAAACGAATCCAGAGTTACAAACAGTAGCACCATCTCTGCAATGCATTCGTCTGGATTTGCTATTCAAAGTGATATTGCATCGGTAAGTATGTATTAAACTAGTGGGCTGCTCCCCCTGCTCGCCAAGCTCACTTCGCTCGCTACTTACTTAGGTGCATTGCAAATGCACAAAATTCTAAGAATTCAAAACAATCATTCAAATCCATATAAAAACTCTTTTTTTTTACAAAAAATTACATCTTTTTAGTAAATACTAAGTCATTAAAATAAATTTGAATTCAAATAAATGACATGTA